AATACGGTATATTTGGCCGATGCCGCCTTCCTTCTTCTGCCGATTTTCCCGTTAAAAGTGTTCATGCGGTCAACCTGGCGATCGACGTATGCGTATCTAGTGACTGCGAGTTCTTCACCATGCCTGCAGACAGGTCCCTCTAGGTAGTGCTCCATTCGCATCCATTCTTGGAGAGATTAACCTACAGTCCGATGGTAAGAGATTTTGCTTACAACTGTTGGATCTTGTGTTGGAGCTGCATCGTGTCTTGTACGTAGATCGGTAACAACGTTTCGCAAATAACAAGTGCGTTAGCTGCTCTGCATCAATACCGATACTGATACCTTTACACCGATTCAATCGGTAGACGGTGATTCCAAATCAGCGGCGAAGAACGCTGGTGAAGCGACATCTCCTTGGTGCATTTCTCGATGGATGCAGATAGTACCGGCTGGCTGAACAGACTGATGTCAATCGTACAACAGTGTTCATTTTTTCCATCAGGCTGACGTAAACAGGGTCTATGCCGTGTTTTCACAGGAATGTGCATTACTAAGCAAAATAAGGTTGATGCCAAGATACAGTTTTGTTGAATACCGAGTGGGCAAGCGAAACGAACAAATTAGATTTATCCAGACATTCATTGCTTCAATAACCATTATTGCTTTCAGTAAAGAGTGGTTGCTGACGAAGAAAATGCGGTTTAAATGTACAATAAGTCAAATTCAGAAATTTTCCGAATGATTTGAATAATAGAGAGGAAGGGGTTGCGAGTTCAAAGCGCCATGTTAGGCTGATTTCCTGCTGTAGTGTAATGGTTTAGTAGGGTGAGCAATTTCAGCCAATGCAGGCAATATTAGATTTTAATGACTCAGCAAGACAAATATGACCTTTAACTTTTCATCCCGCCTGTGAATCGCCTTTGCTATGTTACGTAGAATACTAATCTGGGCAAATCGCTTATTCGCAAGATAAGCTGTGCGAATAGGGCCCGTGCTTCAACTTTGCCTAGCAAACTTTAATGGGCATGATGGCTAGTGCCTGGCTGGGCCTTCAGCCATCAAAGAAAGTCTTAACATGGCGACGCATCTGAGTGGCTTAGAACCGTGATGATTAACAGCCTAGCCATCATTAACACGATCCCGTATATAAGGTCTTTTTTATGCAAGTCACACAGTTTGTACTCTGACATTTAGGTGATGACTTCACTAAGTTTCTTGTGTATCTGGCATATTAAACAATGAGCACCATATACGCTAGACACTCTCGACAACTTGACAACCGTTCTCCGCGCTCGGCTTACTGTTTCGCATTCGCATAGACGTCTCGTCAATTGCCGTACTGACCTGCTGCATCGTTTCTCCCTTTTCAAGGGGATGATTACTAGAACTATTTTGTCAACTCCCTTAGAGCACGATTTACCTCCGAAATCTATTTCATCGGCCTAATTTTTCCTGTGCATTTTATTTAGTTCATATCCACTTTTTACGTCAAGTCTGCAAAAATCTAATTACATTTTAAAACGATTTCTCTGAAGTAAATGGCAATGTTTTTGCTGAGCACTACCCTTCTGATTCTCCCACCTTTCTCAAGGTAGTTCAAAGTTACACTTTTTGATTGATGCCCCTTGCTACAAAAAAGATTCTTAAAATTTAAATGCCTACTTTTAGCAAGATTTATGTGCCTCAACTTAATCACTTCTTGTCTGGAGTGTTTTCTTTCTGATCATCTCTCTTCAAATACACTGACCTGCATGAAATCTTGACATGGCCCATGAATCGTTCAACCACCTATCTAGATAACCACGGGTCCAGAATCAAGAACCTAACTACTTATTTGCATGAAATTTTTTTTCACACGGTTTTTTTGAATTCACACTGAAGTTCTTCCCAACTTCTTTAGATAACCCAAATTTCATAAGCAAACAGCATGTGTTAATCAGCGTAGT